GAGATTTACTGATGGAGTGTAGGATAGTTGTATGAAAGGATTTTTTTAAATTCGAACTTTAAGGTTACGAAAAATTCAAAAATGATACTAAACCTCTAAGATGGTAACATTTGGTATTATGTAAAGGGATAGAGCTAGATCTAAGAAATTTAATATTAGAATCAGGATTTGAAAGTAATTTTGATATATGAAGGTGGTTTCGGAACAGTTTGGTATTGGGTGAATGGGTATTGCTAGAGTTATAATATTTTGTATTGGGGGTACTCTTGGTGGTTGCTTTGTGATAACGTGGTGGTTTTGGAAATGGGTACTACAATTACACGAAAAGTACTAAATATTACTATGCTTGAAATCTGAAATTTGGTATTAGGATCGTTGTTCGTGTGTAACCTCGACATATGGAAGTGGTTTCGGTTTCGTGTGTACTATAATTGTACGAAAAGTACTGAATGGTACTATATTTGGTATTGGGTGAAGGAATAGAGCTGAAATCCTGAAATTTAATATTTAGATCACTAATAGTATCTGTGTTTGAGATTTGGTGGTGATTTGGAAGTGACGATACAAAAAAGAACTAAATGGTACTAAATTTGGTATTGGCTGAAGGAATAGAGCTGGAATCCCAAAAAATGATATAGAGGACTCTGTTGGAATCTGGTGTTGATCGAAAAGTATTGTTAGTTCTATATTTGGTATTGGATTAACAGATAGTGGTTGAAATCAGAAATTTTGTATTGGGATCGCTGTTCATGTGTAGCCTGGACATATGGAAGTGGTTTCGGAAATGAGTGTACTATAATTGTACATACGGTACTAAATTTTGTTATTGGTGAGGTCTCTGTTTGTATTTCGAATTGAGATACGAAGGTAGTTTTGGAAATGTGTACTATATTTGTACGAAAAGTACTAAATAGTACCAAAATTGGTGAAGGAATAGAGCTGAAATCCTGAAATTTGATATAGATGTCACTGCTAGTGTCTGTGATTAAGATAAGGAAGTGGTGGTATAATTTTTGGAAAAGTACTTAGTGATATTAAATTAGGTATTAGGTGAAGCAATAGAGATGGAATGTAGAAATTTTGGCATTGGAATCCCCGTTGGTGTTGGGGTTGATAATTAAAGTTGGTTTTGCAAATGGGTACGAAATGGTACTAAATTTAGTCTTGGTTAAAGGGATGGAGATAAAACTCTGAAATTTGATATTTAGATAAATGTTGGTGTATGTGGTTGAGATTTGGAGGAGGGTTTGGAAATGCGTACTATATTTGCTCGAAAAGTACTGAATTAAACTAAATTTGGTATTGGGTGAAGGAATAGAGCTGAAATCCTACAATTTAATATTGAGGTCTCTGTAGCTTTCAAGGATTTCTTATTGGGTGATTTTGAAATATTTTTGGGCATATAAATTGAATGTAGACCCATGGTCATGCAATCGCAACTATAGATATATGATTTCACCAAATGGAAAAATTCAATTGGTTGTGCTGAAATCCATCCAATTTGAACTGATATTACGTATTTGGTGGAAGCTATATCCAAATCTGAACCGATCTCAATAACATTTGGCGGAGGTCTTTCTGAGGCACTTTTAAAACCAAATCGGATGAAACAAACATATGGGAGCTACATCCAAATCTAAAGTAATTTCTGGGCTGTATCTGATGTGTGGTATCAAATAACATTCTTGTGGAGTGCATATTATGAATTTGAGGAACTTAAACACGAAATCGGATGAAGCATATATGTGAGAGCTAAAGCTATTTCTGATCCGATTTCCAAAATTAAAGTACTTGCGTCTAGGCTTAATTCAGTCGAATTATATACTATTCGGATGAATATTACAGTTCTGGCTCATAATATATAAAATAATTGAAATCATAAAATTGAAATCAGACGAAGATTTATATTGGAGCTACATCTAAATTTGGACTGATTTTCATCAATTTGAATAAGGGCCGTCCAAACAAATGATTTGTTACCTTGTTACAAAAATATATGGACAGGCGGACGGACATGCTTAAAACGACTCAAAATGTGATTCTATGAAGATCATCAAAAGGAACTATGGGTCTCTTTCGTTTCCTTGTGCATGCCAAGGATAATAATACCTTGAGATAATATCTTGTACCACCGTGTGGCATTGGGTATAACAGTTCCGGCAGGCGGTCCTCTAAAGTTTCGCTGTTTTGAATGAATTAAAACTTATTTACATAATATGAAACTACGAATTTTTTTGCTATAAATCCACAGTTCTTCTAAATTATTCTTAAAATTTCATGATTTTTGACTTTTGACATTTTTGACAAAAAGATATTGTTAAATTCTTTAAAAAATCACTCTCTGGCTCATGTGATTCTTATGCTGACCAAGAATATATATACTTTGTTATTCCGAGGAGTTACTAATAGAATAACAAACTCCACATATACCTTCCATAGTATATTTGAGGGTATACAAATAACAATTAACTGGTGGAAGAAAGAGACCTCTAGTTTAGCGTGTTTCGAACCCTTTATTCCTAATATTGTTCCATATTCAAAGAAAAAATTAAGATGAAACTTTCACAATACCTTAAGATAAAGTTCTGCCCCTTCAACATTTAATTAATGCTCCAGATATTGAAAAGGCAAACGAAACGACAAATTGTTCTTTTACACCCCCCCCCCCCCTCCCCCCCCCTTTTTCTATGATAAATAGATTGTGGTCACAGCGTAGACGAGGAAATATTATTTATTTGGGGTTAAACGAATAATAAATATATGTATGTATTGACCACACATAAGGAAATGATAAACATTACTGAAGAAAATTTGTCAACACTACAGTCTTTAATAGTGACCATATATCACATTCACACTTATAAATGTGTCTGCTGTGTGAGTAGACTCAAAGACTTACAACATATCATGAAAAGGCAAATAAACATAGTAAGAAGGGTGGAAAATTCCGTATCTCTTCCGTCATCATGCGTCTTAGTTCCTCACTGAAGGTCCTGCTACCGAAAACTAGCCGGTTATCGGATCGAAGGTTATTGGGTGGTATGCTCTCAGGTCGGAAATATCCAAGTTGTTGTTGGATCGGGGTTAGTTATGTCGTTCGCTATTGGCTTGAAAGATTTCAAGTTGTTATTCACTTAAAAGTGTTTTCGTTTTGATCGGAAGCATTCATGTGGCCATGGAGTTTGCAAAGAGCGTGCTAAACGGCGGTAGTTTGTTAAGAGCGTTGAATAAGCTTAGACTTGGCTATTTGGTACCAACTGTCGAGAGAGTGAACAACCCACACATTCATTTTTATGCTCTCCACCATCCTATGGTGGGTATATTAACTCGTAACACCTCGAAATACTCATGTAAGACCTTAAAATCATCAAAATTCCATATATCGGGATGTGTTGTCATTTGGGGTCTATACGAAAACTTGGACCTGTAGACGCATTTTATTGACATAGGCTGTAATGTCCATTGCTAAATTCAAATACGAACCGAGTACCGAGCCAAGTTCGGAATCGGTACTACAGCCTATACCAAAAAACGTACGCAGGTCCACGTCTTCTATAACGAACATTATTTGAATTGGTGAGAATCTATTCAAATTTAGATATAGCTCCCATAAATATCATATAACCGATTTCAGGTTAATTGTGCACCAAATGGACAATATCAATCCAAATGCATTTTGGGACTTCCGACTAGAGAGAAGTACATCAAATTTGGTGAAAATCAGTTCAGATATAGCTATAGCTCCCATATATATATATGTTTCATCGGATTTGAGGTATTAAGTTTCTCACATGCGTAATATGCAACTTCTAAACAATGATTTTTGGTGCCAGATATCAGATACAGCTCTGAAATAAGTTTTTCAAATTTTATCGAGATCGGATATATATTGTCAAATGACTTATATCGGTTTATTGTCAAATGACTTATATCAAGCCAAAGCTATAAAGTTGTTGTAACTCCTACGGAATTCATCCTAACAGCAAATGCTTCAAATTTTGGTGAAAATCGGTTCAGATATAGCTATAGCTCTCATATATATATATATGTTTCATGCGATTTAGTGTTAAAGCCCCTCACATGCATAATATGCAATTCACAAAAAAATACCTCTGCCAAATTTTATCGAGATCGGTTCAGATTTTTATATAGCTTCGACATACATCTTCATCCATAAAATGAATGAGAATTATCCCCACATAATTGCATCAAAGTGTATGGCCCGATTTTACCATGTTTATTAATACGATGGCAATATAATGCTGTATTCAATTGAGACCTTTAGGTGCGGTGGATAATAACGCGGGTTCTAGAGGGAATGTGAGGAATGAAATAAACACGTCCATTCTTCTCAAAGTAAAGCCTTGTAGGATACCTTAAAACTTTTTGCATCAATCAATCAATCAATGCCTGAGCATCAATTACATAGCTAACCATTCATATATGCATAATTATTTCTCAGTCCATGGGATCCTTACATTTATTTATATCTCTTTTTTAATCCTGTTTACTGATTCTTTCCCCTAATCCGATAAAGCGTGGGGTAAGAGCTTTTGTTTCCACTTGATTCTTATTTAATATTATTTACAACAAAATCAACGAACTGTGAGCTTGAAGTATAATTTATCATAAACAGCAATTAACGTAATTGCTGGCAATAACAACAAATACGCAACAGCAGCTGACGACGACGAAGACGGGGGCGGCGACCAAGAGAGGACGAAGAAAAACTTTTATTGGCATTTTGACAAACTTCTCGCTTCGCCGGGAAATGAAAATAAATGAAAGATGAAAATACCACAACATCAGTCATTTGAAGTCGTTTGGGAATGTATGTGTATGTGTGTGAGCGAGCGAGCGAGTGTGTTCGTGTGTATGAATGTAAAAAAAAAACAACTAAAAGTTGTTTTTGTTTTCAGTTTTTCTTGCCAAGTTTTCATTTTTGTTGTTGGTTGTTGTTCACTTATTTTTTTTTCTTCCTTTTTCCATGTTTTTTTCAGGAAGCCATTCAACAATCTTTAGTGACTGTCCATGACATTGCCACCGAAAACTTGGGCACTTTGTGTATATCGACCCTCTATCGTCCGCTACAAGTGCCCATCAATTCTGAGCGATATGAAAGTTCGAGACAAAAGGCTGATTTGGTGGCATCCATACTGCAGGAGGTTGGCATCATAAGACATGGAGGTAAGTGTGTGTCTGCGTGGGTGTGTGAATAAATTGGCGGATGTGGCGGAGGCTTGTGCAAGTCGTGACAAAAATACTAATTGTTAAAGTCGGATTAAAGTCGTCAAAAGACATTATATAAAAAGAATAGAATTTTATTCAGGAAACTAAGTAACACCTTTAATGTGTTCTCCAATATTCTGGGGGGAGTTAAAATCAAAACTGTGCAAAGTGAGGAGTTAGAAAGCAGTACTGAACAAACGCGTAAAACGAGATTTTTTGGAAAGAATTGACATTGTCCTTTTTGTTATGTCTTTTTTAAATTATTAAAATAATTAAATTAATAAAACTACGAAAATTTGCAAGAAAATCTGTCTTGAAACGGCAAACATTTACTATAATTATACAATGAGTACTAAAAGGTACAAAATACTACGTTTGTCGGTTCGTATGCCAGTTTTTATTTCGCTACATTCGAAAGAATTTAACGAGAGTGCTAAAACTTCGGAGATTCTTAATTTTTTATAAATTTCCGTTTGTCTTTGAAAAAAACATTAAATACACTTCTACTTCTGTCCCTCGAAAATTGTATATTTCAACATTGAAAAAATTGTTAAAAGGTTCTCTTATTGTTAAAAGGTTCTCTTCAGTCTTTGGTCCTTGAAAATATTTTGTAAAACATCTTCATTCGTCTTTTATTTTTAAAAAATCAAAGTTTGCTTCTGGTCATTATACCCTACACCACATGGTGGTAAGAGTATTATGTGTTTGTGCATTTGTTTGTAACATGGACAAGTAAGCGAGATAGACTTTTGAGGATCTCCATAGAATCACTTTCTGAGTTGATTTATGCATGTCAGTCCGTCTGTCCGTCCATCCGCCCGTCCGTCTGTCCATGTATTCTTGTGAACAAAATGCAGGTCGCATTTATTATCCGATTGAGATGAAATTTTCCAAACAACAATTGTTTGACCCAAGGACGAACCCTATTGAAATTTGAGATAATCGGTAATAATTTAAATATAGCTCCCATATACAATTTCGTTCGTTTTGCCTTTTATTGTGCACCAAACGTTTAATATCAGCCCGAAATGCATGGAATTTTGCACATACAACCAAATTAGGCCTGAAAATAAGTATGCCAAATTTGATCGAAATCGGTTCAGATATAGCTATAGCTCCCATATATATTGTTCATCCGATTTGTTATTTTTGTCCTCCGCAGCCGTAATATGCACTCTGTAACAACAATATTTGGGGAAATATATCAAATACAGCTCAGAAATACCTTTGCTAAATTTTGTGGAGATCGGTTCAGATTTGGATATAGCTCCCATATATAACTTCGTCCGATTTAAATTTTATTGTGCACCAAACGTCTAATATTTGCCCAAATGGGATGGAATTTGGCACATACGACCGTATTCAGTCTAGAAGGTAGTATGCCAAATTTGGTGAAGATCGGTTCAGATATAGCTATAGCTCCCATATATATTCTTCATCCGATTTGTTGTATTTGTTACCCATATCCGTAATATGGACTCCGTAACAACGACATTCAGGGAAATATATCAAATGCAGCTCAGAAATACCTTTGCTAAATTTTATCGAGATCGGTTCAGATTTGGATATAGTTCCCATATATATCTTTATCCGATTTCAAATTGATTGTGCACGAAATGGGCAATACAAATCCGAATTAAAAAGAATACAAATGCTTCGGCATATTTAGTCCTTTGAACTTTAAATTATACTTATAATAATAGCGTGTATGATTGAATTTTCCTATAAAAAGTTTTAATTGTTATGTGGAGCTCTACTAAATTAGCAAAGTGATGTAGGGAATCATAAAGTCGACTTTAGGACTTTCCTTACTGTTTTTTTTTTCAAATATACGGTAGTCCCATATCCTTGTAAAATATTTTAACAAATCCTAGTTTGTCTCTGGTCCCTAAAAATGTTTTTTTTAATTATTTAATTTTTTTAAATCCATTTTCTGTATTTAGACCTTGAAAACAATTCTTTTTGTCTTTGCTTTCAAAAATACATTTACAATTATTTTTATTTTTTTATTATCTGTATTTGAATTTTTTTTTTTTGCAGTTTCTTTCAAAAATACATTTTTAAACATTTTTACAAAGATGATCTTTAGTCTTTGGTACTTGAAAATATTTTAAAAAAATCTGATTTGTCTTTGGTCATTGAAAAATATTTTTATAACTTGTCCTCGTTTGTCTCTGATCATAAAAAAAATATTGTTTAAAAATCCGAGGTAGTCCCAGATTCTTGAAAAATATTTTTTTAAGAAATTCTAGTGTGTCTCTGGTTCTAAAAAATATTGTTTTTTTAATCGACGCTTGCTTTGGTGTTTAAACATTTTTTTTTATAAATCCACGTATTCTTTTTGCCTTAAGCAAGTCCAGTGTGTTGTCAAAAACCACTAGAGATTGAAGCTTACAGTCCATAAACCGCAGCGTTATTATATGCTTAGAATAAACCAGGGAATCTCCTGCTAAACGACAAACTTCGTCCTTTCTTTAACCTCAGATAAAAAGGGGGAATTCGCGTCGTTTCTAACATTATCGATAAGTAAAATCTCAGAAAGTTTTGAACGTGCTGACCAGCTATTGATTTACTAAGAATATGCTATCGCAGAGGAATGGACAATAGTTTCAAAGATTTTCGTATACTCCTCAGAGGGAACATTGCTGTTTTATTTTTTCGCTCTGTCTGTGTATCCCTCAGTGGTTCTCCGCCCATCAGTTTTGTAATAAAGAAATACATTTTACTATTATATTGAACAATAATTATTCCTTAGGCTAGGATAGCTTGCCGGAGTCCAAGGATTCGTACAGAAATGTTTTTTTTTTTTGGACAGAACGAGAAATTTCTTTTTTTAGCTTAATAATACACTCTATTGTTTAAGTAATATTAGCATGCAATTATGACGTACTTTTTTATGCTAACATATCCAGGAGAGCAGAGTTTGTTTCTCAGGATTCGGGAAGCGAGAGACCTTCATAAGTACTCAAGCAGGACCTATGAGGGAGTACAAGGCTATGTCTACAAAAGATCTAATTCGTATTACTATAGGGATATGAACGCTACGGCTATAAGAGACCTTAATAAATACTCAAGCACCAAGGACATGCGAAGCTACGGCTAGAAGGGACCTTACTAAGTACCCAATCAATTCGACAAGGATATACAAGGTTACATCTGCGAGAGACCTTAAAAAAAACTCAAACGTGATCTACGAGGATATTCGAAGCTACATCTACGCCAGATTCCAAGTATCCAAGAAATTCTACAAGTATACGCGAGAGACCTTAGTAAGTACTCAAGCAGGATCTCAAAGGACATGCTAGGCTATGACTTAGAGACCCGAATAAGTAGTCTATAGAAATATGCCCAAGGTTAATTTTAACTTAGTCACTTACCGTCGATCAATGTTCACTTTCAGGTCAATGATCAACGATCAATGGGTACCAGGTCATAACGGAGTTAGAGGTAACGAGATAGCAAACTCTCTCGCTAGAACAGGCAGGGAATTAGCAGCAATAAACTTAGACAATCCACTGCCGCTAAAAGCGTCACGTCTAATGTTAAATACATGGGCAAAAAAGGCCCATATATCCTTATGGAACGAAGAGGGCGTAGGGACCCAAATGAGATAAAAACGAAGAATCTTTTATTGCTAGGCAAGAAGGAGATCAGTGAGGTGGCAGGCATCCTTACGGGGCACCTGGGCCTACAAGCTCTTCTATACAAGATAGGTTGCACAGATAACAGCATATGCAGGGCGTGCAGGGAAAATGACGAAACTTTGGAACATTTTCTCTGTATATGCCCAGCGTTTGCTAATATCAGAGCCCAATTCTTAGGGAGCAACACTATAGCAGACCTTAGTCGGTTCATGGTAAATGATATAAAACAGTTACATAATTTCATAAAGGCAACACAATTTCAATTATAACAGACTGCTAACTGCACGTCTTCCTCGGTAAAACCCCTCTGACTAGAGCGCTCAACAGTCCTAAACTGGCTTAAGTGTATGCCCAACAGGGCTTGCGGCGAAATTGGTTCGGCCCTCTTTTTCAACCTAACCTAACCTAACCTAATCTAACCTAACCTAACCTAACCTACACAATTTAACCAGTAAAGAAAGTCCTAAAGTCGGGCGGGCCGACTTTATGATACCCTACACCACTTTGCTAATTTAGTAGAGCTCCACATAACAATTAAACGTTTTTATGGGAGAATTCAATCATACACGCTATGATTATAATTATAATTTAAAGTTCAAAGGACTAAATATGCCGAAGCATTTGTATCTTTTAAATTCGGACTTGTATTGCCCATTTGGTCCGAAATTAATTTGAAATCAGATAAAGATATATATGGGAGCTATATCCAAACCTGAACCAATCTCGATAGAATTTGGCAAAGATATTTCTGAGCTGTATTTGATATATTTCCCTGATTATCGTTGTTGCAGAGTCCATATTACGGCTGTGGGTAACAAATACAATAAATCGGATAAACAATATATATAGGAGCTATAACTATATCTGTACAGATCTTCACCAAATTTGGCATACTACCTTCTAGACTAAATTCGGTCGCATGTGCCAGATTCCATTCCATTTGGACAAATATTATACGTTTGGTGTACAATAAAAATAAATCGGACGAAGTTATATATGAGAGCTATATCCAAATCTGAAACGAACTCGATAAAATTTGGCAAAGGTATTTCTGAGTTGTATTTGATATATATTGATATATTGTTGTTACAGAGTGCATATTACGGTTGCGGAGGACAAAAATGACAAATCGGATGAACAATATATATGGGAGCTATAGCTATATCTGAACCGACTTCGATCAAATTTGGCATACTTATTTTCAGGCCTAATTTGATTGTATGTGCAAAATTCCATACTAGTCGGGCTGATATTACACGTTTGGTGCACAAAAAAAGCAAATCGGACGAAGATATATATGGGAGCTGTAACTAAATTTTTACAGATAATCTTCAATTTCAATAGGATTCGTCCTTGAGCCAAACAAATGTTGTTTGGAAAATTTCATCTCAATCTGATAATAAATGTGACCTGCATTTTGTTCACAAGAATACATACACAGACGTACAGACTGACATGCATAAATCAACTCAGAAAGTGATTCTATGGAGATCCTTAAAAGTAACTATGGGTCTATCTCGCTTCCTTCTCTATCTTACAAACAAATTCACAAATACATAATAGCGTGACCACCTTGTGGCTATAGACTAGATATAGAGGAGTCTTGGGTAATCTATTGACAAACTATCGGCATGTTATTGAGGAGTTTTTAATAGGTCAACATTTGTAACTTTAATCCTGAGCGCTTTACATTCATTTTCTTAAATATGCCGTATTACAAATATGGCGCCCAACGCCCAGCAAAATTAAACATCATTCAATTCAATGTATATAATATTAAAAATTTTTTACTAGGCCCATAATCCATAGAGCCAACATATCTCCACTTTTGGTATAACGACACACATATAGGGCTATATTAGAATTTTAGACCCTATATACCTTAAGATAAACTAAAATATCGCGCAAAGTTTACAAAAACTACAGTTCTTATAAACATATCTATATGTATTTAGAGTTATGTGTACGCCATAAATCTAAAATTGGCATAAAAGCAAATAAAAACCACATGTCATAACACGTGTACTAGCTAAGAAGCTAAGCACTAGATGTTTGGCATAGATCCACGTGTTGGACTAACAATGGTCAGCCAGTGGTCTAGGAATCCTTTTAAGCTTCGTGCATGTGCGTCATTGCGTTGTTTTGTTGGTTGGTTGAAAAATACGTAAATATTTATATAAAGAGGAAATTCTAATAATTCATATACACTTTGGCTTATGGCTATGGCAGTGGCTTCCTGTTGTTATGAAAGAGCAAGGAAAACAACAGTTTCGGTTGGGCCAAATTCAATATGTTTTGTGAAACATACGTGCGTATTTTTTACGATTATTAAACGTAATTGGATAATGGCCAATTAAATTTAGTATTTTTAAGCAAAACATCAATGAAACAAGTTTTGTTCTAACTTAAAGGTGTGAGGTTCTCTAGTCTAGAAACTTTGATATCTAGAGAAACCATCTGCATAAAATGTACAAAAGTTTTCTCCACATGTCAATTTAATAAATCTATCTGATGCACAACCTGTTCAGTATTTCCAATATTTCCCAATTTAATTTGTTTTTATATCAAAAATAATAGCTCTAATTTCATTGCCATTTTTTTAGGTTTATCCGACGCCTTGGCAAAGGGTTTATTAAGTGATCAACACACAACAGGTGCCAGAATTTTGGCCCTCAACATCACAAATGGCTCCGTGCAGTCCTATGTGTGGTGGATCAAAAAGAACCACGACAAAAATGGCGAATTGCAACGCTTCGAAGAAGAAGGTCTACAAGTTGCCAAGAAACCCTCGCCAATGTATCCGTGGTAAGTTGTACAATTCAAGTGTTCGTATTTCAAAATCCCTAGATATTTTTTATTTATAATACGGATTTGTAGATTTCAAGTTAGACAATAAAAACATTATTTAAAACAAGTAAAAAAGATGTGTTCGGCCGGGCCGAACTTTGAATACCCTCCACCATTTGGAACGAATTTGACAATTTTCAAAAAAAAAATAAAATCTATAGCCATTATATTAGGGTCTATACTACGACGTGGACCTGCATAGGCAACTTTTGTTATAAGGCAATACAATTTTCAAACTTGGAAACCAGTAAAGAAAGGTCAAAGTCGGGCGGGGCCGACTTTATGATACCCTACATCACTATGCTTATTAAGAGGAGCTAAGCTGAATTCGGTCGAATGTGCCCAAATGCATGCCATTTGGGCTGATGTTGGTCATTTGGTGCACAATTAACCCGAAATCGGATGAAGATATATATGGGAGGTATATTCAAATCTGAACAGATTTTAATAAAATTAAAATCAACTATTTTTGGGCTATATCTGATATCTGGTACCAAATATCATTCCTGTGAAGTGCATATTACGAATGTGAGGGACTTAAAGACCAAATCGGATGAAACATATATATGGGAGCTATAGCTATATCTGAACCGATTTTTACTAAAATTGGTGTACTTTCTTCTAGGCTGAATTTGGTTGGATTTGCCAAAATTCGTGCGATTTTAGCTGGTATTGGCCATTTGGTGCACAATTAACCCGAAATCGGATGAAGATATATGTGGGAGGTATATCCAAATCCGAACAGATTTTAATAAAATTATAATCAACTATTTTTGGGCTATATCTGATATCTGGTACCAAATATCATTCCTGTGGAGTGCATATTACAAATGTGAGGGACTAAAACACTAAATCGGATGAAACATATATATGGGAGCTATAGCTGTATCTGAACCGATCTTCTTTAAATTTGATGTGCTTGCTTCCCGACAGAATTTGGTCGGATGTACCAAAATTCAGGTCATTTGGGCTGATATTGGCCATTTAGTGATATTGGGAGCTATATCTAACTGTGAACCGATTCTCACCAATTTCAATAGGGTTCGTCCCTGGACCAAACAAATGTTGTTTGGAAATTTTCATCTCAATCGGAGATGATAAATGCGACCTTTTCAATCGGATAATAAATGCGACATTTTGTTCACAAGAATACATGGACGGCCGGACAGACGGACTGACATGCATAAATCGACACAGAAAGTGATTTTATGGAGATCCTCAAAAGTAACTATGGGTCTATCTCGCTTCCTTCTCCATGTTACAAACAAATTCACAAAGACATTATACCCTTACTACTATGTGGTGTAAGGTATAAAAATAATGTAATGTAAGGTAAATAATGTAGCTAAAATCGTCAAAGTACCGAATATCGGGAGGAACCGTTATATGGGGGCAATACCAAAACGTGGAAGTGCACAAACAATTTTCTGGCATAGGCTGTACTATCCATTAAGAACTTCAAATACCAAATTTGAAAAAAAAAATCAAGGAAACAAATACCAATGAAACAAAATAGGGAGGTACCATTATATGGGGGCTATACGGAGACGTGGACCTGCGCGGACAATTTTCTGTCATAGGCTGTAATATTCATTACGAACTACAAATACCAAATTTGAAACATTTTCGGTGAATAATGTCGCGAAAATCATTAAAATACCGAATATCGGTAGGTACCGTTATATGGGGGCTATATGAAGACGTGGACCTGCACAGACAATTTTCTGTCATAGGCTGAAACTTCAAATACCATTACAAACTTCAAATACCAAATTTTAAACATTTTCGGTGAATAATGTCGCGAAAATCATTGAAATACCGAAAATAGGGAGGTACCAATATATGGAGGCTATACCAAAACGTGGACCTACTAGGCCCAATTTCAATATCAAAATTCCTGAAGACTAATATACATTTGAGTAAAATTTTATCAACCTACTTAATTTCCACAGACGGGCGGACATCGCTAAATCTACATAGAATTTTATGCCGATCAAGAATACAGGGTGAGATAAAAAACTACAACAGAGTCAAATGTCATAATTTTTACAATTTTTTTTTTTAATTTTTTGAATTAAAGCAAGAAATGTCGGAAATAGCATCAAATTTTAGAATAAGTTTAGATTTGTTTGAATTGGTCACCTTTGGCACGAACTATGGCCTTCAAACCCCCCATGAAACCGCCACACGCTGCCCGAATGATGCTCTACGGTATTTTGGACCATTCCCGGCAAAGCGCTTCTTTGACGTGATCGACACTTTGGTATTTTTTAGTGCCAACCTTGCTTTCCAAAATACTCTAGACACAATAGTCCAACGGATTGGTATCCGGAGATTTTGGTGACCGTTGTGCGCTGGAAATAAAGCGAGGAACCTCATTTTGTAACGATTCTTGGAAGGCGCGTGATGGTGCGATGGTGCTGAGTCCTGTTGGAATGCGCAAGTTCTGCGGCAAAAAGTTTGCGTGCTCAAGGCTTCAACACACCCTCCTGAATATTTTCGCGATAGTATTCGGCATTTATTCTGATGCCACGGTCAATTAATACGAACGGAGAGCGACCATCGGCTGGTATGGCGGCCCACACCATCACCATGATCGGCGCTTAAGAGCTGGTGGGCAACCAATGGTGCACATTTTCAGCTGACCTCTTTGGCAAGTAAACACGATCATTTTGTTTCTTTACAAACTGCTGCACAACGAATGTTTTCTCATCGGAGAAAACCAAATTCGGCAGTTCACCACTTTCGGCCAGGCGATGCAACTCTTTAGCTCTTATAAGTCTATTTTCTTTCTGTTGCGGTGTAAGTTCATGCACTTTTTGGAATTTCATTTTTCAATATTTGCCGAATGAAATATTACGTTATGTTCAGCTCACGTGCCATTTTTCGGCCACTGCGACACGGGTTTCGATCAAGTCGCTACTTTACTTTTCGAATCATTTCTGCTGATGTTGCTGTTTTCTTCCGTTCGCTTCCTTGACATTAGGCTACGCTACCAGCATCACGGTAACGAGCGATGGTACGAGACATAAACGATTTATTCACATTTAAATGCTGGAGTGCTCGAACGCTCGCCAGTTGTGGTTTTCCAGCCAAATATAAATCACACTATCACGCTTGAAGTCCAAAATGCTTTTGTACGCTTGTAAAGAATATAATGAGCTGTCACTTGAATAATTTTAATAGCTGTCGGACGAGTGGGTTAGAAATGACAACAGCCTGAAGTTGGCTGCAGTTTTTTCATCTCACCCAGTAAGTCTTAAAGTCATTTAAAAATATATTTATAAATCCAGGCTTTTGGCTCTTATAGTCCTTCAAAAAATATATTTGAAAAGTCCAGGATTATAGCTCTTATAGCCCTTCGAAAATATATTTCAAAATCCACGATTAGCCTACACTCGCTTAGCCTTATAGCTCTGTAGGTCCTGTCCGTCAGTCTGTTGTAACCACGCTATCTTTCGAACGAATTGAGATAGAAGGCTAAAATTTTGCACACCTGTTCATTTTTCCATTAGGTTAAGTTCGTAAATGGGCCATGTAGGTCCACGTTTTCATATAGCCCCCATATAAGGGCACCTCCCGATATTCGGTATTTTGATGATTTTAGCGACATTATTCACCGGAATTGTTTCAACTTTGGTATTTCAATTTCGAAATGGATAATACAGCCTAGAAAAATATCTGGGCAGGTCCACGACTTCGTATAGCCCCCATATAACGGTACCTCCCAAAATTCGGTATTTTGATGATTTTAGCGCCATTATTCACCGGAATTGTTTCAAATTTGGTATTTGAGATTCGTGATGGATACTACAGTCTGTGACAGAAAAATGTCTATGCAGGTCAACGTCTTCGTATAGCCCCCATATAACGGTACCTCCCAAAATTCGGTATTTTGATGATTTTAGCGTCATTATTCACCCAAAATTGTTTAAATTACGTATTTAGAGTTGGTAATGGGAACTACAGTCTGTGACAGAAAAATGTCTATGCTGGTCCAGGTCTTCGTATAGGCCCCATATATCAGTACCTCCCTATATTCGGTATTTTGACGAGTTTAGGTACAATACCCACCGAAATTGTATTGAGATATCGTATTTGACGTTAGTAATGGATGCTATAGGCTGTGACAGAAAATTGTCTATGCTGGTCCAGGTCTTCGCACAGCTCCGATATAACGGTACCTCCCTATATACGATATTTTGATGATTTTAGCTACATTATTCACCGTTTATTTCAAGTTTCGAATTTGAATATGGTAATGGCTAATGGCAAACAATGCCTATGTAGGTCCATATCGTATAGACCCCAATATAACGGCAATATTCGGTATTTTTAAAATTTAACAGAATTTTTTTAAGAATTTTATTTTTTTAAATTTCCAAATTCGTTCCAAATGGTGGAGGGTATTTAAAGTTCGCCCCGGCCGAACTTACAGCTTTTTAACTTATTCTGGTTCCTATAAATAACTTGATTACTATCTCATTATCAAATTAGCGTTATACCCCTTTCTCATTCCACTGCTTTTTTATTCTTTTTCAGGTTCGCCGATGAAAGCTCCTCACCAACGTTGCGTTCACCGAAATTTGCACCCAGCCCACCGAATATTTACTACAAAGGCTGGTGGACATATCCATATTTTTCATGTTCACTCAGCAAATGGATACTGTCGTACAGCATTGCCATACCGCCGAGCGGAAGACACGGTCTGCGAGGTTTCGTTAGCATCGACATCGATGTCACCGGCTTGCGTGTCAATCAATGCGAGGCACCGGTGGCCTATCGATTCAATTATCAGCAGATACAGACACGCCGTCTTCACTTGGTCGACACAAGCGCCCAGTCGACAGAATTCATTAATGATATTCAAGCGTTTCATAAGTCGCATAAATGTCATCGTGACACAATGGTGGTAAGTGTTGAGTGGAGGACGGAGGACATAGACCATAAGGGACAGTGAGGTTGTTGGTGGGGGTTGTGATGATGGTTTTCGTGGTATTTTCTGCTACATTAACGATTGCGGGTGAAAGGGAAAGTAATAAAGGTTTTGGGCGGCAAGGTGGAAAGGGAAGGTCTGCACAGTGGAGAGAGTCGAAATGGGAGGTAATTATATTTCGAGCTATTTCAGGTGAAGTATTCAAGGTTAACAAAAAATATACACCACTGTGCAACCTCACACACTCTTCCGATAAAATCATAACTGTCGATTTTGAAAAAGCCAATAACTTACATGACCGAACTTCTTGTGTGTCTACAAATGTTCTTGACATTTCTCATATTTTGTTCATGGTTTTGACCTCACGTTTCCGTTTTGTTTTTCTTCGCATCTTTCTCCAAACCCAAATATACAAAAAAAACAAACCCGCAACAACAACAATAAAAGTGTGATTATCGTTTACCCACCACGGATTCACCGACAATAACAACAAGCAAAATTCTGGCCACACCCAACACTTGGTCACGTGGTGCCTATCAATGCCTGTGCAAGCGCGGCTACTATTCCATTCGACATCCGGATGGCTTTAATGGCACCATTATGGAAATTGCCTGGAAGGAACATCAGGATAATATTAGCAATTACTATTCCGAAGTGTTCACTTGTCTGAAGTGTGCTCCGGGCTGTGAGTCGTGCACAGGACCCGAACCATGTCTGGCCGATTACAATTGGCCCTTTAGGTGAGTATGTTTCGTGAATGGAGGAATGAATGGGAAAGAAAAAGAAGGTGCTATGTTTTTAATTTTGTCTTTTTTGTTTTTCTTTGTAGAATATCTTTGCTCACCATTTCGGTGGCATGTGCCGTAGGCTGCTGCATTTTGGCGGGCTATCTGTTCCATCATCGCAAGGTGAAAGTTTTCAAAGTTGCCAGTCCAATTTTCTTGCTAATCACGCTTATTGGATGTTCCATCATGTATTTGGAGGTAAGTTCGAAACATCAAACTTTTTACTAAAAGATAATCAAAGCCAAGTCGAATAGGCAAGGACTAAAGAGTGAAACAGATCAAAACTTACTTCGGCGTGAAAATACAACACTATTGCCATTTTTGGCTGAACGAAACCAAAATACAACACTGTTCAATCCCACTGCAGTGGGTTCTACGATGCCGGATTGACCCGAAACAACAACATCCCAGTTTCGGCCAGTGGCTGTCACCTCAGTGTATACATGTTCGTGTTTGTTTATTTCTCTTCTTTGGGAGCAGTGTAGCCCGGCATAACTGCTCCGAATTCTTTTGGTCCATGCCGGGATCGAAGAAAACCCCAGACCTTGGTCCTGTTCGGCTTGTCAAAACGTCATTCCCGACAGGTCTGTTTCTGTGCGATGTAATAGATGCACATTAGGAACTGTTCCGGATCAAGTCGGTTACAAAACTACAGCGAAAGGGATTATGTTGCGATACGCCGCAGCAACGTAGTTCCTAGCGAGTCCACGTCTTCGTCATCCTCTTCTGAATTTTCGTCGGAGTGAGGACACTTCAGAGAACTGTCCAATCTTTCTGAGAGTTCGTGTAGCAGAAAAGATTTTCCAAGACATCATCAGAGCTACAGCAGCCGGTCGAATACCCGAAATAAGACCACAATTGCCAGCAGAGGCATTGGGGCTAGCAAATAAGCTTGATGATCTCCGCCGTTCTAATCCTACCGATCCCAGAATCAGTGAATTGGCAGTGGAAGTAAACCAGTTGGTAATTTTGGAATCACAATTGTAATTTTGGAACATCAGGATACGCGGGGGGTTTAGCACCTGACAATAAGTTATCAACTTGTCGTTAGCCACCGCCATCGTTCCTAAAGCCTGGAAAATGGGCCAGGATGCCAGCAAAGGCTAATCACACAGACCAATATTGCTTTTGTCGCCAGTAGCAAAGACTCTTGATGCCTTACTCCTCCCCAGCATCAGAGGAAGCTATCCAGTTACCAACCATCAATAGAGATTCAAATATTGCACCACAATGCATTACACACCATATCCCCACATTTTAGTCGAATATTAAACCACAACAAGCCATGCCATAGAACAGTGTTGGCAACCCTTGACCTATCAAAGGAAACTACGCCACTGTTTGAGCATATAGAGAGAACTTTCCTCCTCATTATTTCAACTATATTTATGGATGCCACTCGTGCGTGAAATTCCAGAA